GACATAGCGACATTTACAAAGAATTCTTTACACTTAGAGTTCATACCGCGTACGTTCTGGTAGTAAACAGAGATGCGACGATCAGAAAAGGTAGAAGTAGAAACTCTTACAAAATTTTGAGTATTTAACTGTTCATAAGGGATTTCATCGGGAAAATCCGAACTAAGAAAAAAATAACCTAGCTTTAAACTCCTCAACCTTTTGTAAGTAACATGGGCACCTAGAATCCCAAGCCGCATGTGACATGTCATAGTTGGTATTTCTATCTAGATTATTTCTAACACAGTTAATACATTTTAAGTTCGTGGCCTTGCAGTTTTTCAGTAAGTGGCTATCGCCACACCGAGGACAGTGAGTTTGGCTCTTACATTGACCAGAAACATGGGAGAAACCACTGCAATTGAAACATCGCTTGATAGAAATTTCATCATACACGCCACAAACATCATACCCCACGAATAACTTACCCTTGTTGACAGACATAATTTTATTATAAGTACCGTAGTCTAATTGAAGGATGGCTTGGAAAATGTCAACTCTTTTCTTGATTGGCTTAATGTCTATAACCTTACATTCAAATTTCTCACTTAGCACATCTTTATTTTGAGACTTAATGGAATTAATAAAGTTTTCCGCAGATTGTTTTTCAGTCATACCCGCAACCCGTACTCTAGGACTGAATCCAGCAACCTCCTTGATTTCGTACTTGTCAGAAAGCTTCTCCGCAGCAATTTTCTTGAGCTTGAGATTGTCGTCATCAGAATTGCAACCAATTAGGATCCCCCCATTCTTTACGTTCTTGACACCGGAAAGCTGAAGATTTTCTGCGACTGGATTCACGTGATGAAGCATGTCGGCTTTAGTGGCTTGTGTATTTTGCGTTGCATCTTTAGGTTTGATGATGATTGCCGATTTTCCTTTCGTAATAGCCGAATACGATTTCTTATCATTGATCTCAGGTAACTCAACAGTACTAATTTTTTTCACGGCAATCTGCAGAATTTCTGAACGAACACTAGAAAATAGCTGATGAATTTCGTTTACCAAGTTGGATAGTCTAGCATCTAGAATCTCGTGCACTTCGCTGGTATACGATTGGCACGGATTACATTTCCACGACAAACCGTTTCTCTTTTCAATGGTTTTTACTACATCAGCTGATAAGCCCTGGCAAGCGGCATGAAAAAATTTTCCACAAAAACCTTCACATTTAACACTTTTTGTTCTAGCACTGATAGAGGAGTCACAATAACTGCAAACTGGATCACTCATAATTACAGATCGTGGTGTCGCATCGGTTGCGTATTCAAGAACAGGGTGTGTGATGTTATAACGAGTGATTTAGTTTTTACTTGAAATTTTTACTTCTAGTCTTACTCGAGCTATTTGACCAAATACGAAGAGCAAACATAAACGCGTGCGGTTGTTTTGCTAGCAGAGTAACTTATTCCAGTGACAAAATAAAATGATGTACATGGTTGATTTGATTTAAAACTAACTATCACTTGGATGTTTCACGCAATAATGATTATTTTACGTGTCAAATGTTATAAATTTATACCAGCAAATAGAGTTTCTAATGTAGTTCTGTGAATAAGTAGCCAATGTTAATGTCTATTTCAATTGAATCGTGTTAATAAGTGAATATATAATTGTAATTTTCAATAATAAGCAATGAAAAATATTATTTTGCTCAAGTTATATACCACTAACCCTATTTTCTGCTACTAAAGTAAGTTCACAACAGTTTTTCGGGCTTTCTCCATTATTATTAACAAACTGTGAACGTTATTTACTCGTAGAACTCAGATACTACATCAAGGACAAACAGTACTCTAAAACATGTCTCCTGAAAAAATAAAATAATGTGACGAAGTTTTTACAATGACAGTTTCAAGTTTCAGTTGTGTAAATAATGCCAATTTACCAATGAAGATATAACTAACTCCATTACTAGAACGCTAGGAGTGTACCATTTCAAAGACTTTCCGGAGGTACAAACGTTCATTATTCATGATTAATCAAATATCCGATTTCGGTCATAAAAATTACCGTCCGACTTGTCTACTTGTAATGAACGACTTTTAAATATGGTGGAGGTGTGTGCCAAGGAGTAAGAATTGGTTCGGACTAGGCACCTGTGAAAACTCCCATACCAAAGATTCAATTACTGTTATAATTTTTTTAAATCGTTTTTTGATGTAGCTCTATTGATATTCGGTGGTAGTCTAATTTTACCGGCCTAATATAACTAGTGACATGGTATTAATGTGATGATGGTAGTTCAGGGTGAATAATGAATGAAATTGCGGCATGATGGACTGGTAATGATGTTTTCGAAATATTCTCTAAACAAATTAGTTTCTTTACATTTCGTACAACTATCGGATTTCGATGTCGCTCAAATTAATGCTCGAAATAAGAAAGTTGGGAATATCGACAATCAAGGTTTTACATGTATGTAAATAACAGTGATGAAATGTCTTGATTTTTTTTCTGCGGTTGCTTCTACTTTTTTATATCCTTAGTATCAATCAGTGATTTCAAATCACTTTTTTTAGAAATTAAAATAATTACCGGCACGTACATTAGCCCTTTAACAGTAGCTATTTGTACGGTAGACACATGTAAATCAATAGCGCATCATAACCGGTTAATACGGCGGAAAAGTAAGCTTGTAGTGTAAAGATAGGTTTGTTTAGTTACATTTGTTTATTTAAAATCTAGTGTAAACTGAACACATTCTCGTGGTGGTAGATTCTGGTAAAAATGGCGCTTGCCGCTGTCTTATTTCAATCTTCCAGTAAACTACATCTACCCGAGAATAGGTGTAAGAGTAGCTTTATATACGTTTTAGAATCTTTTCAAACTTCCTTGGATCATTTCTGGCATGCAAACTGTATTAACTTAGAAAAAGTACGTTCGGGCGCTTAAAAAGATACAAATCGGATAGTTTTTGTGGAGAAAAATTGTACATCTAAACAGAAATAACAGAAATCCAACTGTTCCCATACTATTTGTTATTAATGTTTTTGTTCAATTCAATTTATCCCTGAATCTACATTATAAGGTATGAAATTTTATTTGCGTAAGTAGATTGTTTATCTGCCTATCTAATTTTTTGGAAAGATGTTTGTCAGCTTACGCTGCTGCAGCATCTTAGCAGATAGTTATACAGTTACAGTCTTTCTGACGATGCTCACTGTTTGCAGATAATATCAGAATTACCTGCAATTAATATAATTATGTTTACAGAGGCTCATTTTGAAGGTTGAAAACAGCTTATCTGATAATCCTCGTTCATTTTGGAATTTTATTAATATCTAAGGATGCTCTTCTGGAATTCTATGAAGATAGATCTAGAATGATGTTTCAACTTTTTGGGGACTACATTACTACTGTTTATCACATTACAGATATCAACCAAATGCCTTCGCTTGATTTCAAATCTGGTTGACATGAATGTCGTAAACATTGATGTTAAAGATAATATATATACGTAAATAAAGTTAGGAGTCTTCCTTGGAAACCATCGGTTGGCCCTGATAATATTACTATATTTCATGAAAAATATATACTCGTATTCACTTTGACAAAACCACTGTGCTGTTTGTTTGATAAATCACTGCAGTCGGGAAAATTTCCAAATTATTGGAAACAAAGTCTTTTAACGCCCATTTTTAAGTCAGGGAATGAAAATATTGTTGAAAACTATAGTTCGGTGTATGACAGTCATCTCGAAATTGACGGATTGCTTGATGAACAGAATCAATTTAAAAGCATTATTGTCGATCAGCTTCATGGTTTTCTTCACGGTAAGTCAAGTTGTACCAACTTTATGTTATATGGTAACTATTTGTGCAATTCAATTGAGCAAGGTAAGCGGTGGACTCTGTTTATTTGTATTTTTTCCAAAGCCACCGATCGGGTTAATCATTCGATACTATTTTCCAAACTTTACAACTATGATGTGCAGCGTCAGCTCTTGAATTGGATACGTAGTTACCTATCTGATAGATCTCATATCGTACGATATGCTGGGTGTACATCACGTAGGAATTGTGTAACTTCTGGAGTCCCGCAGGGTTAACACTTAGGTCCGTTGTTATTTAGTATACTTACTAATTATCGTGTGAGTTTAGCACGCAGTGAAATTCTTTTATTTGCGGATAATATCAAGATTTTTAGAGCTATTGGGAACAAACATGGTGATGAATTGCTGCCACGAGACTCAGACCATGTTTCTGATTGGTGTGGAGTGAATGTTTTACTTTCAAATTATGCGAAAATTACATTTAGTCGGTCTCGTTCTCTGATTACTTATTTTTATGGTATCAACGATAGATCTTTGCAAACTACAGACCAAATCAAGGATTTAGGACTTATTTTTGACTCAAAAGTATTATTTAACGTACGTATTGGAAAAGCAATTAACTGTGCCTATTATAAGGTTTTATAAATCGATACTGATTTGATCTGTCATTTTTTTTTTCTTAAAATTTTGTATTGTTCTTTGGTTAGTTGGTTGCTTGAGTATTGCTGCTTCATCTGGTCCCCAAGTTATAACTTACAGATCAACCAGTTAGAGAGCGTGCAAAAAAGCTTTTGAGGATCGGTGAATATAAAATGGATTTCATTGGGGAGGAAAAATAGTAAAAATTTCACTTAATGTAAATGATAGGAGAACCCAACATACTGATACCTTTCATCAGACGAATTACTATTACTATGGTTTGAATGAGCCCATAACTCCTCTTCTTAGTTTAAGTAATAGATAGGTATATATCTAGTTTAGAAGTATTTGGAACTCCTGTTAATAAATTAAAACGAAGTGTTAAGAAGATACAATGTAATAATTACATACAAAATTATTCTTATAAAGACTGTTTTGTATTTGTAACAAGGGTTATATTGGTTGATTAAATAAATTATAATTTGTGGATATTCAATATTATCTAAAGCAACCCTTCATACTTATATCTATGTATTACAATGCTTACCTAAAGGTGTCATGGGGCTATCTTGTCCTTCTTGCAGCTCCTCTCTGTCTCTACACCTGACAGTCCTAGCTCTCCCATGCCTCGACATTATTGCAGCAATACTAAAGTCCGTCCCACAAGGTCTCATTGTCAAATTGTCCTCCATCTAACAATTAAATCTTCTATTCACTCAAACACCTCACTTTGAGTCTCTCCATCTAGATAACGCCAAAAGTCTAATTGATCTCTACGATCACCATATGTCACAGCTTCAGCAACAGTTTGTTTGTCAATTACTAAAATGATGAGAACGGGTTTTGAGTAGTTCTATCCAATCTTGCAGATGGTAAAGGCAAATGTTTTTGGTGGTTTTTCCAGATATTTAGTTATGCTTGAAACTGCACAGCCTATTGTTATGGTTATGTTCCTCCATGTCAGTATATTTTTTGAAGTTGGCTCTATCGTTGTAGTTTCTGAGATAGTCACTGCTTGAAAACTTTCCTGACTGTAAGTTGGTTATTCACCTTTAGCAGGAATTCGGAAGTTGCTGTCAGCTTGTAACAAAGGAATTCGATGCTTTATCTCTATTGCAGACCACCAAAGTTTATTTTATCTGTGACTACTGAGAAAGTTGATGTTAGAGAATGACACTGTATGTTCTGAAATTGGAACGTTTGGATTCAGTAAGTTAGGAAGTCATTGTATAAGTATCTCTAATGACTGTAAATCAAAATATGTGGCGTGGGATTAAAAATATATCTTTGACGTTGTTGCTGCGCTTATCAGATACGTCAAACTTCGCTCTTGAAGTAGGTAATTGTTAACATAAACTGAAGGCCCAGGCATAAGATGCATGGTAGATCTAACTAGTTGAACAATGAAACATCCAAATTTGACAACCACTTCACGAGCTTTCTGATCCTCCTGGAAGGATGGTACAGCCACTGGAATGTCCCGATTTGAGTCCCGTCGACTGTTGTCCCGTACCGCGTGGTGTTCGCGTATTTGTCGATCGCGTATCTCGACGTACCGCGATAGACGTCATTCGTTCGGCGCGGGCGACTAGATTGTCGTGTCGGCAGTCAGTGGCAGCGGCGAGAGTTGCGGCATGCTGCCAGCAGATTGGTCGATGGGTGGCGCCGATTCGCTTTTGTCTGAAGCCGCCACGGTTGCCGCGTAAGCGAGTGCCATTTTTAAGGGGGGAAGTAGGGAGAGGGGAGAGGGAGAACAGGCGGGTCGTCTTGGCTGCTCGATGACACGTCGGCTTTTTGCGGTAGCTGGCCCGCGGGCAGCGCCGAGGGAGCACCTGGGTGGGTCGAGAGCTGACAACAGACGGATGCCCAGTGGCGCAACAGTCACAACGCAACTCAATCAGAACAGTATGACTACATTTGTTGAGCTTCTTCGACTGGGGAAAGCTTTCGCAGATTCTTCTGGGCAGGAAATTCATCAATCGTTCGCTACACTTACCACCTGTATAATGCGTGATCACTTTGTCCTGACTGGTAGAGCTACGGTAAGGGTTCGTACCAGAAGTCAAGTTGTTACTCTCCACCTATCAGGCAGAATTTTACATGAATCCTTTAAGTTGTCTATTTTATTTGGTGTGCGATCCATGTACTTGGTTATCACCGCTTCTTGTGGAAAATAATAACGTCGTTATTCATCATCAATAATGTGAGGAACAAAGATAGCGAAGTTTAGCTTGGGCTATTCTTACACTTAACTACCTTTTCCTATATGTTAAAAAAGCACGATGTTTTGTGCATTATTCAAAATAAATCCACTAAACGAGCATTATCTAGTAATTAAAAAAATAACTAATCGCTAAACTAAAATACACTAAGAACACATATACAATGTACATGAATGCCTAAACATCCCAGAAAACAACTTCAATCGTACCTAGGTATTAAGTAGGTATATTAAACCAGAGCAGACGGAAAATGACAAGTGTCATTTTCCTGGCTAAAAAGTGTTGATGGATCAGCGCTCACCCGGAGCTGTACCTAAAGCATTCCGAATTTTGCAAGCATGGCTCGGAGGAGCAGATCTCTGCTTCAGAATGATAACCAGCGCCCGCCAGCTCCGTAACAACGCTTCCAATGAGCTGACATGATGAATCTATTTTCGTTGTTCTAAAACTGCCATCAGGTCGTCATAGGTCCTCTGATGTCCTTGTTCGGTCAGCATTCCTAGCCTTGCCTTCACCACGGCTTAAACTGCTCGACCTGTCACTAATAGCCGTCCAGGGTAGACTTGGTCCAAAATCTCTCGTGGAATTATTCCAGCAACCCGGGTTGGTTACCTGATATTGGTCAATCATCATGGAGGGACTTCAGGAAGTGGCTTGTTACGACAGAGGAGATTCTCCGTGGACCTCAATAGTATGTTGTTCCAGTACACACACTACCTAGGTATATATGTAGAGCTGCACTATTATCAGTGGTGTGAGTAAAATTAAAGTACGGCGTTACTAATGCCTTCCTTGCAGCATCCTTCTTGTTCTGATTGAATGAGTTGAAGTGAAAAAAGAAGACATGCGTCCCCAATACCACAATCCATAACGTTATAGCCTCTTGATGACGGGGAGAAGCCTGTTTTCCTTGCTGTTCTAATCAGGGATTTCCAGCGTACCTTTTTGTCCAGTAACTGCGCAGAAGACTAAAAATGACATGCAAAGTATTCTGCTCCTTAGAGGCTTGCGGGTCACTTCACGATGACAGACTCCTTCTTTATCTGCAAATGCATTGAATTGGAAAATGTGGTATAGGTTATGTTTCCTCCACCCGAGGCAACTCCGTTACTCCAAACTCATAGGTAGCATACGCCCTTTTAGGGTCAATTTTTGTGCACAGCTACGGGAAATGCGCCCAGTAGGGTTATGGCGTATCTGTCTCAGATGCTTCCGGCAAAAGTACTAAAAGATACTTTAGCCAGCTGGGTGACATCCTGGAAAGTCAGAACAAGGCTCTAACCTTCTCTTGGGGACCAACCAAATTAACAGCAGAATTCGCCTTAAGGTGTATGAGAAGGTCCTAGAAGCACTAGGGCTGACTTCTTTGTGTGCCTGTACACGTAGGGATGGAAGGTAATGTAATGGCGGATATCCTTCCGAAGATAGATTCCAATGGAGGTATTTTAGACCCTGGACTGGCCGCAAATCAGATTAGAACTACACCTGATTCAACGTCCATTGAGGAAGGAAATTGTGCCCAAAGGTCTTTGGTCCTTATGAACCGCCAGCAGTTGTTAACTAATCAGTCATAAGCTTGAATCTCTTGGGACCAGTATTGACCTTATGCCTTATGTAGCGCAATTTAGCGATGTGCATATTTTAGGTCGGATCAACGTTCTGGCATTAGACTATACCTTAATACTAAATATTACAGTATATTTGAACTAAAATAGATATGATGTAAGATGTGTAATCACTTCAGCCGTTACTACAAGACAGCACGAACAGAAGCAGGGGGCTTCTTTATTCTGATGCATATTGTGACCATTCTATCATTTTATATCGTCTGTCTTCTGCTCTAATTTGTCCACCACAAATGAATGTACGGTGGTGCCCCGTACATTTCAAGCCGCCCGTCACTGGTAGGCACACCACAGCCAGCTCCTTTCTTCTGTCGTGTCGCCGATCGCCTTGAGGGGCCCCCCACTCCTCGGCGTGAAAGGCGTGGCTTAGATCTATACCACGCCCCTCTAACATGCTACAGAGCTTACCTGTTCCAGATTATTTTTCCTTTTATTGCACGATAATTGGAAAGGGGCTATTATTGCGAAATCCTGGCAAAAGGGGGGGAGGAGGGGCGCGAAAAAAACTCGAGCGTAAAGCGATAGAGGGTTGAGGGGTGAGGGGGGTTGTCACCCTCCGGTAAGCGCAAGACATGGGGAAAGGTAAATAGAGACAGAATGGGGGGATGCCAGATAAGGGGTTGGGGTGAAAAGCTGGAAAATGGATTGAGCACGAAAGATATGGGAAATGGCAGTGTTGTTAGTAGAAGATAGTATTCTCGTGCTTATTCAAATTTCCACATACTATAGTTTTAGTACTCAAGAAATATTTTTAGTTTTACTAGAGGTGCTGAATAAATTGTGTGGTACCGACATCCAAAAGGCGGCGCTGCCTATTGAGAATTGATAGTTCGAACCATTCGAAATGTGGAGATAGGAATCTTATACTTTTCAATGTTGCAACTGGACACTTTGCAGTAACGTAAAAAAGTTCGATCTCCAGTATGGGCTTGCCTAGTTGTGCTGATGAGAACTAGGCTACGGTTGATACATGTATGACCTCAACAAAGAGATGTGTATAGTAAAAACTTTTTCCACGGGGGCGATCATCGGCAGAGATAACTTTTTGTAAGTGTACCTGCTCGAAAAGCTTTTGAAGCGCGGGTTATAGAATTTTTTTCAGAGGGGTACCCAAAATTGTTCACGAATCATGCTGCTCTGCAATGAAGTTCATCGCTGCCTTTTTTAATTTTCACAAAAATGTGTTTCACTTTGTCAAATATTTCATATCAATTAGATTTCCTTAGAATAAAAGCAGTGGATTAATTTATAAAAGTAAAAAAGCAGTAGTTTTAAATATACCTACTGCATTTATTCTCTGTATGATACAAGTACTGACTTGCTACCGTTTATAACCTATTATGATGTTTCCTTATCTAGTTTTTTATGTAACACTTCTACTACTTGAGAATAAATATCTATCGTTATAAATACTTGGCCTTGCATCAAAAAAAGTTTTTTTTTAAATATTCCTTGTTTAACTTAACATATAAGACAACATGCTGGTTTAGTTCATTTATCTATATAATTACTTTTGTTGAATATTGGGCGATGAAATATAATTCTATAATATTATTAGATTGAATTATTAGATGTTGAAGAGATTTACTTTTGAGCTATTTATGAGATATTCAACAAAAATAGATTATATTAAAACAAAAAGGCAGGCATTTATTTTTGCTCAGTATAAAAGCAGCAAATCTCATGTTACCTCTTTTTAATTTACAACAGTTAAACACCGAATATCATATATTTTAGGTCTCGATAAGAATTATGTTCCGATTCAATCACATTTAAATGACTCTCTATAAAGTAGTGTACCTTTGCAATATTCATTCGCTTTTGATGTGTCGTAACGACGCTACTTATTTAGTTCGTACCTAAGTACGGCAGTTTACAGGTACCTACTATCCGTCGACAGAACAGAAACTTTTCACCAGCGAAATTCGAATACACGACTTTTGTATTATAGCTGAGTGCTTTTACCATAAAGTCACGGTGGTCTGTGATAAAGAGCAACAAATGCGCTAAATGAGGTACCACCTCACCTTACAATTTTCAGTTCTTTGTAACCTATGCGTATTTCTAAGCTTGGTTTCTACAGACAGTGGATTTCTTTCCCGTCCATTCACAAGGATATCATAGCGCTTGAATGATTGCGGATATCTGCCGCGGTCAGAGATCACAGAATTTTGTTGTACCTACTTATTACATACCAGCAACCTGTAAGAGGAACTTAAGAAGTTAGAAACGACAAGGAACAGTTTGTATTATTTATCCAAGGTGGCTTAGCAGCCAAAGACTGGAGACGGATATAGATAAGTCAGTCAATAATTATTTATCAACTACCTCCTTTTTCTAAACTAAGGTCCTGAGAGTGCCAATATATGAACAAAAATTCAGTAGAAATATTTAAATTTTAAGGTCATCAAACCTTTTTTCCCTTTGGCGGTATTAGGCGTAGGTTGCATTTGATACTAATTCCGCCATCGCGCGGCGTATAAATGTCGCTACGTGATGGCGAATTCCCTTCATAACAAGATTCCAGTTATACCAAAACTTCAAAGCATATAAAACCTCTCACCCATTACAGCGGCCAATCCCCATCTTTGAACCCTCAAGAAAATTTCTGAAAATATGCAGAAGTCTCTGAAATGTCAAATGTTTGAGCGAGTTTCAGTTTCTTTTTTCGTAGCTCCACAGTTACTGTAGCCATGTTGGAAGCCTACAAAGCATTTTCTTGACATAGCAATAAACCTGTGTCAAAATTTCATCAAAATCCGAGCGGTGACTTTCGAGTTATAGATGGGTCAAGGATTAGCGGACAGACAGACAAACAGGCAG